GTTTTATTTACAATAACCTTGTGAACAAGAAGATGAAATGGCATCCACATGGCATCTATAGTTCTAGCTGAAAAACTACGTAAGTGTATTACTAACATCCAAAGTAGGAAAAAAAACACAAAACAAAAACAAGAAGGAAAAGAGACAAAGTACTTTTTGAAAATTATGTTAGAAACTAAATGAAGAATGTAATTGCTATATATTTGGGTAAACTTTCTTAGTTACCAAGGTTTTAAAGATCTCTGTAATTCATTTAATTGTCAGAAGTTCACATTCTTCCCTTATAACACCTACCATATGCTAATATATGTCTTTTTCTAACAGCTTTTATTCAGAGTTTTTTAATATACAGCAAAATGAACACTGCAAATAAAAAACTGTAGGTTTTTATGCTATACTTCTGCTTTGTATGTTGGGCAATTTTAACATTTTCCCTATTGAGATGTCATGTTCAATATATCACAGAATCCCAGAATGGCTGAGGTTGGAAGGGACGTCTAGAGATCATCCAGTCCAACCCCCTGCTCCAGCAGGGACACCCAGAGCATGTGGCACAGGGCGGCATCCAGGCGGGTTTGGAAGATCTCCAGAGAAGGAGACTCCACAGCCTCCCTGGGCAGCCTGTCCCAGGGCTCTGTCACCCACACAGGAAAGAAGTTCCTCCTCACCTGGAGACGGAACTTCCTGTGCTCCAGCTTATGGCCATTTCCCCTTGTCCTATCACTGGCCACCAATGAGAAGAGCTTGTCCCCTTCTTCCTTTCATTCTCCCTTCATGAACTTATACCTGTTAATCCGATCCCCTCTCAGCCTTCTCTTCTCCAGAGAAAACAGGCCCAGCTCACTCAGTCTCTCCTCATACGAGAGATGTTCCATTCCCTTAATCATCCTAGTTGCTCTTCTCTGGACCCTCTCGAGAAGCTCCACGTCCCTCTTATACTGGGGAGCCCAGAACTGCACACAGTACTCCAGGTGCGGCCTCACCAGAGCTGAGCACAGGAGCAGAATCACCTCCCTTGACCTGCTGGCAACACTCCTCCTGATGCAGGCCAGGATGCCATTGGCCTTCTTGGCCACGAGGGCACACTGCTCACTCATGGTTAACTTGGTGTCAAGCACGACTCCCAGGTCCCTCTCCGTGGAGCTTCTCTTCAGCAGGTTGACCTCTAATCTGTACTGGTGCCTGGTGTTATTCCTCCCCAGGTGCGGGACCCTGCACTTGTTGTTGATGAACCTCATGAGGTTCCTTGCTGCCCAACTCTCCTATATTCAATATTCTGAGTACCTTGACATTATGGTAATCATTAAAAAGATATATAGGAGCATATAGTAGGTGATTAAACAATTTTTATTTTAATAATGTGTCACTGAAAGTCTGTTATGGGCGAAAATATGTTCTGTACAGCTTTTCTGAGTACTTGAGAAAAGGACTTTCTGATTGTAAAAGATGCTTCATCCCATTGTTCTCAGTGGCAATGATAGCAGGATATTTGCAATTTTACTATAGAAATTGTGATTCTGCAAGTCTCTTGTGTGGGGGGCTCCCCCTTTCCTTTTCTGCAGTGCACACAGGCGCATCAAGCTGGCTAAAGATATAGTTCTCTCTCCCTCCATTTATCACAAAATTGCTGCCAAGCCCAAGTGTCAGAAGCCATGGCTCAGATTCTAAATATTTTGAGGTTGCTTACACTTGAGTTTTTAATAAATGAATTTCAGGTATCTTCTAAATTTCTTTTTAACTTTAGAGTGTTTACATGCATCTGAGTCATATTTTCAAGCTTTTGCCTACAAAGAGGAGTGGCAAAGCCTTTTCTATTTTTATGAGAGCTGATAGTTTCCTGCAGTTGATTGCTGCTAGCTCTGGTCTCCAGAAAAATAACACACATCCCAGGAATCAAAGGAGAATGTAAGTGTTGCTGAGATGGCCATCACATTTCTCTGCTCTTCAGGCTTTTTGTAAGGAAGTTGCATAATCATGAAGGGCAAGAAAAAGTGTGGATAATTCGACCAGAGATTTATGGTGAGAATAAGAGGTAGAGGAACAGACGCTTTCTGAGCAACAGAAGGCACAAAGTAGAAAATATGTTTCTCTCAGAGCCATCTGTTGTGGATGTCCCCAGGCTCAGATGTGAATATGGATGGAGATCTCTATAAGATGATGGAAGAAATATGTATCAGTGGGAAATCAGTGGGAGTTTTTAACTTGCACATAGAGATTAGAAAGTTTTCTACTAGTTTTCTACTAGGTCCACATATTCTTGGACGTAGAGGTCTGCACATGCTTCTGCACTTGCAGAAACCAAAGTTGCTATACCAACAAGAGATGATATTGCTTTGATTCCCTACAGAACTGGCTGTAGAAAATAATCCTTGATCCAGTGATTATAAATCAGTTAAAATAGGACTATAACTAAGGTTTTGGATTCAGAATGGCAATTTTTTACATATAAAATAAAGCTCAGTGGAGTAAGAAATTCAAGACTTTCAATGTTAAGGAGGCGGGGAGTTAATTTAAGTCAGAAGTGCTTATTATTTAATAGCTTTGACTATGTATTCCAAGCGCCAGGGGAAATGCTGGGAAAGGAATACTGATCAAGAACCTACAGTAAATAAAGTTACATCTCATAGGTTGTAAAATGCAGAGATAAACTAAGAATGTTCAAAAGTCCACCCACTGAGCTGGGCCTAGTGAAGAAAATGAAAATAAATAACAGGAGATACTAGAACCATTGAAATGAAGAGAGAAGTGAGAGAACTGCAGCCTAACAGATGGAAACAAAAGGTTAATCCAGGTATGGCCAAACACTAGATGAATCCTGCTCCCAGCTGAGGTATCGAGTATCTCATTTCTTCTTTTCTTCTTTTTTCTTTTCTTTTCTTTTCTTTTTTCCATTTATTTGTTCCATAAGGCAGCGTGTTTCTCCCTGAGAATGACAGGAGAGGAGGTACCAGTGAGAGGCAAATGTTGTCCTGGTGTCTTTACCTGGGGGTAAAGGAGGCGATGAGAATCTGCAGTGTCAGGCTAGAGAAAAGTAACGTGCAGGGCATGACTAGTGGACTCAGTCTTACTTCATTTTACATTAAAATTTAATTTCATTAGAATATTTTTAGCAAGCATGCCTTTTCAAAGATAGTGGGGAGAATTTCTGTCAAAGAGCCCTGAGAGACTTTTAATGAAGGGAAAGAGTGTTCAGAACATTTCCCTGTACTGCCAAGGACTCCATCTCAGTCTTGCATGTCCTTGCAGCCTTTCCAAAACAAGTGAATGCAAGGATGTGGAGGAGGAGGGTCTTGAGAAAGGCAGGACAGAAGGCCAGACTGTGTCAGAGGGAGGCAGAGCTGCAGCTAGAAGATGGATTCAGAGAGCAGGTAAGGCACAAATCGTAAGTGGTGAGAAGGGATAAGCGCATTAACCAAGATTGTTGACAGGAGCAGCTCACGGCTGGCAGTGAGAGCAGCTCTGGTGGGAGAGCGTCAGCGACCAGCAGCAGGAATGATGAACTGCTGGGGCAGATGGGGTCATCAGCAGGTCTGTCCATGTGCACCCCGCTCCTGGGAGAGGGGCAGCCCCAGCAGGAGCCTCGCAGGGATGGGGGAATCTGCTGGGCTGCCTTTTGTGTGCAGGCCTAGCTCAGTTGTATGCATGCGATGGCTCTGACAGCCTAGGATTTATGGAAGCTTCTGTATGTATATTTACATATATATGTGTAGCTGTCTCAGTTTCTATAAAGCAGGAAGATGTCAGCTTTCTGGGAGCCTTACTACTCTGTTTTTAGTGCCATTGAGGGTCTCCATTGGTGGTCTTTGAGGGTCTCCAAGGCTGGACCCTCAGCTGCCTGTGTGGAGTGTGGGATGGACAGTGCTCCCCCTGCCCCATGCCCAGTTCTGGAGGAGAGGATATGGCCAGGTTTGCTGAAAATACAGTTTGGGAGTGGGGAATCTTTGCCCTATGTATTCTGGCACATTATCAACCCTTTCCACTCCAGAAAAGACTTTAGGAGGGAAATAATGATGGAGAAGCAAACAAAAAGTGGGACTGTATGTATCTAGATTTAAGGAAAGTGTTAAGACACAGCATGCCTCACGGGAACTAATATTTGAGTTAAAGATGATAAGGGATTAATTCTAAAATTGCCGAACAGAGAAGCTGCAGGGTGAGAGAGGAACAGACTAATAGCTACGTTTGTGGGAGGGCAGCCTTGGGCCCAGGCTGGGCTGGCGTTTTCCTTTGTGACCTTGGTCTGAGAATGAGATGTGCCCTTACAGAATCTGCCAGTGACACAAAGCGGGTACGTATTGCTACTATGGACCAGGGGAAGGCTTGATTATCATGCAGGAAAAATTAGATGACCTTGTTGAATAGCAGAATAGAACAGCATGAAATTTAATAATCCAAAGTGCAAAATCATGCCCTTCAAGACTAATCACCAGAACTCTTGCTATAGGAAAGAGGTTCATGGACTGGAGGAAGGACAGACAAATTTGTCGGGGGACCATGAGCCCCCTTGTGCAATGTGGCTGTGAAAACAGCTGATCATACTCCGGAATAGATAAAGCAAATAATTCTCTGAGGAATCAAGAAGAAATTAGTAGCAGGGGAAAATATACTGGGTTCTGAATATCACACACGTCTTGCTCACCTGTGTTCAAAAGATACTCTAAATGTTAAGGAATGAAGAGCAGGGCACGTGTGTGTAGCAGGGAAGGTCAGGCTGGGTAGCAATGATTCGCATTTCTGTGTTGTGTGCCCTTAGGATATTTGCTGCTGTGTTTAGTGTCCTGATTGAGTTATGCCATCCCCAGGGGACAGCCCTAGTCGCCTGAGGAGGTGAGGAAGAGAATTCCCCTTTCCACTCATGTGTAACTCGGTTACAGGAAGGGAGATTTCCCCCTCTCTGCTTCACTGGAGGTTGAGTATGAGCAAAGAGAGGGATTCGGGGCAGGCGTGTGGGGTCTACCCATCGCCTTGGGAAACTTAGAGATTTCCCTCCTCTTCCTCCCTCCTTTCACACCTGCAGAGTCAGAGGAAGGAGTGGAAACGTTTCAAGGGGGTTGGCCAACGTGAACTTGCAACAAAAACCCCCCCATCGTGACTGTAATCTGTGAAAAATGCCCTGCAATAAAAGCCGGCTGTTCATTTTCCTCCGCACGCGGTAAGCAGAGGCTCTCTTTAACGTGTCATCAGTCTTTTTTATGAAGAAATATAAAAGCTCCCGCAGCAGGAGTCCTCTGGCTCCGAGGCTGGGCGAGGGAAGGCGGCTCTGACAGACTGCTTAGCTGGCCACACCACTCGGGGCCATCTGCTTGCCAAGATTTCTCTGGGATACCACGAGAGAGGCAGACAGGGCCTGTCGCAGCGGTGGTACCTCCCTGGGTGAAGTGAGCACCACCAGAGACTGAAAAACATTCAGATAAAACGAAACCCAAACATGTTAAATACATAAACACAAGACACTTGGTACTGTCTGGTGTTTTGAAATTGTCCAGTTAATTGTGAGTGAGCAACAAAATGCCCTGGTTCTCTTCTCAGAAAGGCCAACTAGGTTGGCCTCCAGGTTCTCCCATCGTTGGTTCTGGGCCTGCCAAGGAGCGTGTGCAGCTCATTTTATAGCTGTGTCTCTGTAGTCGCTCACGCCAAACATCTCCTGTCCTGTTGCTAGTTTGGCAAAAAGTCCCAGGAGTTATTTACAGGCCCCTTGGCTTTATCTCATTTACCAGCTTTGCACTGTCAGCAGTTTGGCCGTCTCATTGTACTCCCTCTCCTCCCGGTCATTAATAAATAGATGGGGATGGAGAAAAAGTGAAATTAATCCTAGCAGTGATCCGCCGGCGTGCTCCCTGTGGCATCACACTGCTGCCACTTTTCCATCCCAACGATCTGCCATTTATCCCCATCCTTTTATCTCGCTTTCCTTTAATCCATAACAAAGACTTTATCTCCTACCCCAGGGTTACCGAGTTTCCTTAAAAGCCTCTGCGAATGGCATTATCGGACGTCTCTGTAAACGTATATCCGCTGAGTCTCTTCTATTCAATATTTTGCCAACTCTTTTTGTAACATCTGAACAGGCCAGGAAAGCACAATTTTTCCTCATTGATAGGGGTATCAATTTATCTGTGCTGACTTGCAATTTATTCATTCTGTTTTTTTTTCTCTCTCCTACACAGGTGTTTTATAACTAGCTTAAGTGATTTTCTGAACTATTTTCCCCATTACTGAATTAAGGTTCTCCAATTTTTCCTTCTCGAGGCGAGCCTTAAGAGCTTTTTTAAAGATTGTTACAATGTGGGCCGTTTTCCAGTTATTCAGCGGAGTGGCTGTTTTAATGATAAATGACATACCTTTAATGATAAATTATGGTAGGCTGGAATTGTGTTTCATTCTTAGGACCCTTTCAGAATAGCCAATGAATTCCATTTGCTCCCATGAAATATTGGAATCTTTATTTCTTGAGTTGCTTCACCACCATTTTAATACCTTTTATCCAACAGGGCTTCAACATCATTACATGTAACTTCAGAATAAAGATTCACCTCCACCTCCTCTTCAACGACATCCAAATAAATCACTTGGCTTTGCTGCATTTTTTTCTCTCATTCTGTGCTTTCTTCCTTTATACCTAGCAGCCTAGTAGGCCTAAGTATAATAGTCAGCTTCCAACACATGATTTACTTGTAGCACGTATTATTATTTGTCATCATGCAATTGCCTGTTTTTGTGTATCTTCCGAGCTTCCTCTTACAGCATGAGTTATATCTTGTCTGCCAAATGTTCCATTTTATTAGCATTGCTTTAACTGGGTATCCATTTCTGAAAGAGGCTTTGGGGACCAAAATTAATTCTTGTACTCTACCATTTGGTTATCCTGTCTTCATTCTGAACTGAGCAGAGCTCCTAAAACATGGGCCATAAATAGCTCCTGTTCAAAGTTAAATACATGGATTTTTAACTTTACTTTTCTTTTTATTTCTCTGAAAGAAAAATCCTGCTTGAAATGTTGATATTTTACATATTTCTCGGTTTGCTTAACTGGAACACGATTCCATTTACCCATGCTTATGGGGTCATCCTGTAAATTTGAAGGCAAGACTCATGTCAGTAAAGGTATCATAGCTATTCTTATTCTAATTATTGTACTTGGGACTACATTTTCTGAAACAACCCTTGTTGTTATTAGGTTAATGAACTCACACTTCTTCACACTTCTTTTTCAATTTTAATCATTTTGATCCGTATGTCTGTTGTGTCTGTATAGCACTGGATTTGTTTTTTCTAGGATTTAGAATTTGCGAGATAACAGGGTTGTTTTGGTCAGTTCCTATGAAACACACTAATACACTTCATTTCCTACCAATGTTTGAGGTGGGGCAGTTTAATTCCTGCTTTTATTCTTGCTAGAAATAAATGAGCATCACAGAATATGTCTTGAGATTTCATGCAAATAAAGGATATTTATTCACAATTTCTCCACATCTTCCCCAAATGGTACCCAACCATCAATATCTCTGCTTCTTTCCATTGCTTATACATCCATAATTTGTCAGCTTGGCTCCTTTTCCTCATCCAAGAATAAAGCATGAATGCTATTTTACATGTTTAATTTACATTATAAAGTTATATTGCTGTTAGTAGTCAAAAACAGGAATGCAAGGAATTCCCAGCTTCTCATTTTGTTCTGCTCTCTGGTGTTAAATCCTAAAGATATTGATAGTCCTTGATGCCCATTTGCAGTGTAATTCCTGTGGCTAATCAGGTGGATTAAAACAAATTTCTGTCTTTGTGTGTGTTTGAACAAGTAAAGAGTAAAACTACAAGTGAGGATCACGAGAAATATCTAGCACTCAAGCTCATGAAAAGCCGACTGCTCAGATCAGGCCTAATCAAGCGGTTATAGCGAAATAATCCTTCCAGAGCGGGGCTCTCACTGGCCATCGAGACAGACAGCCCAGAACGAAGCATCTGCTCTCATCAGATGAAGCAGCACTTGAACCCGGCCTGCCTGGCCCTACGTGAGATTTTGCTGTTCGCGCCATGAGGAGTGGGACCTAAAATAACTGTTAGAATTTGTCCATAGATGCTGTATTTTGAGAAAATACGGGTTCAATTCTTTCTTTTGTTTGTTCAAAGGAGGGAATAATAGGATGTTCACTATCCCTTGTGTTTGTTAATGAGTTTATTTGTTTAATTTTGTGTCCCTAAAAGCAATATTCAAATCATAAAATTTTATAAAATATGTAATGTCCGTTTGCACTCTGGAATTGCTGATCGAATTGAACACGCTGTGGGGGTCTAGCTGCCTGGAATGGGCTATTTTCTGTCCATCACCTCGGTCAGACCAAGCCAGCGGAGAGAGCAGTCCAAGGCAGGACACGCACGAGGTTCGGGGAGGCTGCGCTGGGCACGTCCTCTGAAAGCTGAAGCGGGTTCAGCAGCCCCCACACTTGGCCATGCTGGAGTACGGAGCTCTCCAGACTTTCCCTCTCGGGTCCCAAGCCACCCAGCTTGTCCCAACAGCGTGGCCCTTGTGCCAACAGGACTTTATTACGTATCTCCGAGCAGCAGAGGCAGAGGGAGCTTTGGTGTCTGCCCCTAAGTGTGGACAGCACCCTTAGCACCTGGATTGCCCCCTCTCTTCTACATTTTTCCTCTACAGGCAAAAGAAACTCAAGGTCATTTAAGAATTGAAGTGTGATGATATAGTAATGCCACTACAAAATGCTATGCTGCTTAAAGACCTTTTTAATTACCTGATGGGCTGATAGAATCATCAAAGCTATTCCATTTTGCCCAATAAATATGCCTTTGGGTCTGGAAGCTGCACAGATTAAGTCTGAATAGCCTGTTATTTGTCAGGCACTGTAAAAGATCCAGTGATACTTTCTTTCCCCGAACTGCAGAAGCAATTAGACGATAGTAGAGCCTGTTAAATTTGTACTTTTGAGGTCACAAGCAGGCTTTAAACCTTTTTCCCCTCTCTATGCAATGCAAAAGCCAAAATGTGGCTTTGTTCGACTGAAGAGTAAATGGTTGGATGACAGGTATTAATATTCTGTTCCAGTGCAGTCCCACTCACGGCACACCAGACAGATCATTTTTTGCTTGAAATTGTCTGTATTTGGTTCAGGGAATTTGCGGGTGTGGTGGTTTGCTCACACGATGGAAAAGCAGAACCTCTCACCATGAAGCACCTGCCACTCTTTCTGAGTGGGGCCTGGGAATGGGCCCTGGAAGGGAGCCCTGATCCAAAATCTTTCTACTGATTCCAGCAGCTTTTACCAGTCATCCTATGAGGCACTCTGACCACTCCGGCAAGCTGCAAACGTCATTCCCTAATGTCTGTGTCAAACCTAGATACCATGTTCCCTAAAAGAGCATCTGCTTTTAATGAAAATAAAGGGTGGAGAAATCATCAGTGATAAATTTGTGGTCATTAACTAGTTGGGCCACCACATACGGATTTCTTTAGATTTTACTCTCAGCTACTGGATATTGCCCTGCCTTTATTTTCTGCAGTACGGAGTTTCTACTACCAAAAATCATCTCTTCACTCTGCAGATGGAATCACTGTGCTAAATTGCAAAAGAAGAAAAAAGTCCCCCACCTTCTTTCACCAACTTTTACTCCAACCAGTGTCTGGCTCCAATGAGGACTAGGACTGTGTAGATGCATTTCTTTATTATGGAAGGAAGACATAACAAAGCAAAATTTTCCCCCGCCAACTTAGTTATCGTAATATTTTTGATAGTATGATGGCCTCTTTTTAATTGGGAGTATTATTTCAGAGGGTAAAATGACCAAATTGCAGTGCACACGGGTCAAAATAATTTAACTATGAAGTTGATAATTGTTATGGCAGCCTGGTCTCACAGAACTGAAATAATCAAATCCTCGTCATGAACTATCCTTTCCTTACTTCATATGATTGCCTATGTCAAACACAACACCAAAACTTCTAGCTGACATTTTCTATGAAAAGACGATTTAAGGCATCATAATGTGCAAAGGCTGCCAGCAGGGCAGTCTGTCACTTCTACCTTACATCAAAGGGATGTGCATGTGCACCCTGTTGGAGGAAGAAAATACAGCCGGGACAAGAACCAAGACTCCAGCAAGGAAGGTTAATGTGGGCACCTTGTAACTTTGAAGATCAAGGTTGAAATTTGGAAAAAAAAACAGAATGCAGACTGCACCTCCAGCCTTTCTTCCTTGCCTCTAAATCAAACAAGAATTTGGGGGAAAATGTCTGAAAAATGCCTTCATCTCTACCTCCCATTAATGTAATTAATCGCTCGTATTTCTCTCTCTGCTCTCAGGAGACTGCATCTCTAATTCTAGCCTTGTAATTCCCATCACTCTTTCCATGTTCTGTTTTTCCACTTCTGGTTGCACCATGCAACTTGCTGAGATGTAAGACGTAAGTAGTGAAGTATCCTGAAGTGAAGACGGTACAAAAAATGGGTAAGATACCATTAGAGAGACATAAAGTGCTTTCCTGAGGCAGCTATATCCTTTGTTTCACAGCTCTATGCTTATGTGAGTAAGCAATTTTTGGAATTGCAAGTGAGGCCATGGCAAATCTATATGAAACCTTCCTGACTTTGTAAGTGCAGTGAGCGGCGTGTCCCGCACGGATGCGCGTTCGGAGGCCGTGGTGGCCACGGCTCTGTGGCTGGGCCCGGCTGTCAGGGCGGGCGGGCGGCTCGGGAGGCTTGGCAGGCTCTGCTGGGCCTTCGCCAAGGGCTAAATTTAAACCTCGAGGTCTCTGAGGCTTTCCTGGTGAGAGACACATGGTGCATTTTTGAGGATGGGAAGCCTGCGACATGTAAGATTTTAATGCAGATACCAGCTCTGACCCAGCAGAAACCGCAAGAGTGACAAATTGCAAAGGGGAGATCAGCAGAGTGTGTGTGCAGGCACGGCTGTGCATGAGAAAGAGAGGAAGGCAGAAGGGGCGAGAGGGAAATGGGAGAGAGCAGGCAGGAGCCAAGTGCAGAAGGCCAGGAATCATCTGGAGTCAAAGAGAAGAGACTGTGAGAAAGAGGGAACTGCATAGAGGGTGATGAAGGTGCAAAGCTACCTCTGCTGATATATATAAATAAATAAGTGAATAATTTGATGTGTATGTTGCAGGGAGAAAGTGCCTCGGGTCACATAGCTGGTCACGGCACTCGCAAGCAAAGAAAAGCCAGCAAACACCTGAGGTTTGTTCAAGAACTGAGAGCGCCTGAGATTTATTTCTGTTCCTGTCGAAACCTCTGCTTAGGGAACAGGTGGGCATGAGCTTGGTGGTCTCACCTTAGCCCCGCGGGGCGCTCTGAACGTCGCGCGGCGGCAGCGCACGTTCTGCACGGGGAGCTTTGCACACAGGGGAAACCTGGCTTGCCATGACCTGACAGGGGAGGCAGGCGCTGCACGGAGAGGTGTTAGCAGGGACTCCTGCAGCGTAATTTGCCTGCATTTTCCCTGACTGTAGCTAATAATAGCCCTTATCCCCAGCAGTATCAGATTTGCTCGCGTTAAAAAGCTGCTTCTGTATGACAACAGACCATTCATCTTATCGCACTTCAAAAAGTATTAATTATGGATCATCGTATTTTGCAAATTTTTTTTTCTGTATAAATGCTGCATTAAAGCACTGTAATGTTGAGTAAACATCCACCTGTGTTTTGCAATACGAGGTTGTTTTTTATGCTCTAAGAGAAAAAGTTGCATCAGTTGCATATAAGTAGGTCAGTGGCAGTTCTTTATGTATTTCTTAAATTCACATGGACTCTCCAGGTCCTGGGGTAGGAATACATGGCTAAAATCACTGTGAATAAAATATTTATGCTTTCCTTTAAAAATAAATAGACCCAGTTAAGCTGCAGCAGGAGAGGTAATGCTTTCCATTGCTGGACTGTAATGTGCATGCTTTAAGAGCTTTACCCAGCTCAGTTTATTAGCATATAATTAACCTGAGCATAATTAATACAAGATTCCCCTTGCATGGAAATCATTCATGAATTTGGGGCTTGTGAGACATCCCTCAACTTGTCCTTTATCATGACAACTGTGGTGAATATCACTCATTATTCAGAAGACCTAATTATTTTTGGGCTCTGGTTAGGGTGAGTCCTGGGGTCAGTATAATGGTATTGATTTCATCCAAAAATCTGACCGAAATACAAATGCTTAGTACCTGAAGACTGACCATAGGTGCTGCAGAGCATGGGTTGGCTTGCTCCTGATCCCCTGCGTGCCAGCGCTGCGGGCTCTGCTGCCTGGGGCAGGCGTGTCAGCACCAGGACCTGTGCACGCTGTGCTACCAGGGGCAGCGTGAGCACCGGGGAAAGCCTTTGCACTCACATTTGTGTGGCACTGTTGACAAGTTCATTGCTGTGCAATCACAGCAGGCCATGTCATCCTGGATATTTTATAAGGAGGATTGTTTTCCTTTCAGTACAAATGCGGAAACATCTCTCACCGGTTGGCAGTCAGAACAGAGTCCCATGAGATGTCACTCATCTCAGGAAAAATCAGCACAGATGATTAGCCTTGTCACCCATGGCTCTTTCCTTGGGCAGTGTTCACTCTAGTGTTTATAGGGAACTCTGTTAACGCACACTGAAAAAAAAAAAGAAGATACATCTAAGTTATGCAGGCTCTGGAGAACCTTGAACTCTGTTGAGAGCCTTAGTGGTTAATACCTGTAATGGGTTGCTTTAAGCAGGGAGCCTGTTCAATGTGAGAAGTTTGTGCTTTTGGCAGCATGTGGTTCTTGCTGGAGATGGATGCACCGTGCCATTTTCTTCAGGCTGCTTCCTTTGCTGCGCGTGCAGGAGATTGCAGCGAACCTTGGCGTGATGCACGTGAAGATTTCAGGCTTGAAGACATTGTTTGCATCAATGGGAAGAGCATCCCGTGTGCGTTAAGATGTAAAATATTTTCATTTTAGTATTTCTATAATACAAATTGATAAAGTGACATGTCCAAAAACACTATGAAAATGTATATTTCTGGGGAGATCAGAAAGTGATCCCCTAGGATAGAAATATGTATTCATTTTAGGCAAATATCTGAGAGGTCACCCTCTATTCACCAACATGATATTCCTTGTATTGGTGGGAATTCTCTGCTTTCCTCTTGGTTAGCTGAATTATGTCACTACATACACCTCACATAACGGGAACGTGGCTCTGCGTAATGGCTGTAAAGCGGCTACATGGAGCTAACAGGGAATAAAGTGGGCTGGATGGAGCACGATGAGTGACTTCTCATGTACGTGACACGAGGATGTGGCTGCTCCCCAGACACAGACCGCAAGAGAAAGGGGCGGTGGCAGAGGAGGACACCGACTACCGCCAACCTTGTTCCACCGAGCAACTGATGGGAACTGCCCAGGGCTGCCTGCAGATTCCAAGAAAAATACACACACGTTGGCCTGTTTTCTTCCGCTCATTCACATGCCTGGCTCAACTGGTGGTGGGGTCCATTATGCACCGTTACTGCTCCGGATTATGAACCTATTTCTTCCCAAATTAATTGCCTCTGGTTCAGTTATCTGTAACCGATTTGATTTAAAGAGCGTGAAAGAAGCCACCTACATGTGGCTCTTGTCCATTAGTTCCCACAAGGAAACAGATCTTGCATGAGCTGCCTCTGAGAGCAGGTGGATTTCCTGAGTTCAGAAGCACAGCTCCACTTCTCCAGCAAGCTGGGGGCAACGTTTTCATGCAGCAGAGGACCCTGCTTAGAATAGGGCTGCAATGTCAATGTGGCCTATGCCTATTTAAGACAGAAACTCAGGTATATTGTGGCACTAGGTACACAGCTGGTATCGGCAGGGTTCCCTTCTTGGGCTTTGGGTCAGTTGCAACAAGAAACGGCTGTCGAAGCATCTCTCATGCGACCGTACTGACCTAGGCATCCAAAAGAGATGTCTCCCGCTCTCCAAAGATTGCATGGGCTGTCTGAGCTGCGTGCGGACACCCGTGATGGATATTTGGGCTGACAAATGGGTTTCATCTTCCCACCCTCATTTTTAGATGCTCTTCCCTCCTCTTTTTTTTTTTTTTTTTTTTAATAGGGAAGAAGGTGACTTTCACGTTAGCAGCTGGTTGCTCTTCATGCCACTAGGTGGTTGCTCCAGCCTGGAGAGGAGATTTGCTGCTGACCCCTGTGTTCTCTGAGGAAAACATATGAACAAACAAAAACCTTCCTTCAGTCTTTGGGATTGTTTTACTATTTGTAGTGATCACAGAGAACAAACTGTCGATGGTCAGGAAATGCAATGGGAAAATCAGAGGCTGACATCCAGGTCTTACTGCTATGCATGAGAAATGAGCAAAAAAATGAAGAAAAAGAAGTCGACAAAATGACTATCTGACAACAAGGCATTTTTGCCTTGCATGTCCAAGTCCTTACAAAAGGGCAGGTGAGAATAAGGCTTTTCTTAGCCTGCTTTGTGGGCACAGAGCCACTTGCTGGGCAGAGCAGAGCTGGGCTGCTGGCTTGAGGGCAAAGTGCCCCAATGGGCAAGCGGGCGCTGAAAGAAAAAAAAAAAAAAACAAAAAAAAAAAAAAAAAAGGAAAAGAAAGAAAAGAAAAAAAGAAAAACTTTGTATTTCAGCTCGGAGATCAGCCCGGGATTTCGCCGAGTCCAGGCAGTATTACGCGGGACGGCAATGAACGTGGTTGTCCCGGCAAAGTGGAGGCAGCTGCCGCCGCCCCGGGATCCCGCCGGCCGCGGCGATGCCCAACGGTTTCTCTCAAACTTGGCTCCTAACGGTCGGCCCCAACGGTCGCTTCCAACGGTCGCCCCTAACGGTCGCCTCCAACGGTCGCTTCCAACGGTCGGCCCCAACGGTCGCCCCTAACAGTCGCCTCCAACGGTCGCTTCCAACGGTCGCCCCTAACGGTCGCCTCCAACGGCCGCCTCGGGCGGCCCCGCCCCGCCCCGCCCGGCCTCGCCCTCGGGGCGCCGGGCGCCTCCCGCGCTGACACCGCCCCGGTGTCCCCGCCGGGCGGCAGGTGGCGGCGGCGGCCGCCCCTTCCCTCCCTCCATCCCTCCCTCCCTCCGTCCCTCCCTGGCTGCGCGGCTCCCTCCCTCCCTCTCGTGGGCCGCCCGCGGGCGGAGGGCAGCGGCGCCCGCCCTGCGCTTTGTGTGCGGCGGCGGGCGGCGCGGTGCGGTGCGCGCGGCGGGGCGGCGGGGGCTCCGCTCCTCCCGGTGCGAGACGGGGCGGGACCCAGCGGCTGCGCGGAGCGTTCCCCGAGAGCGGGCGGCGATGGAGTGAGCGCCGCGCAGGGCCATGGAGGCGGCCGCGCTCTGCCTGCTCCTCTGCCTGCGCGCAGGTAGGTGGCGGCGCCCGGCGCGGCGCGGTGCTGCGCTGCGGGCGCGCGAAGTTGGCGCCGCGGCTGACGCGGAGTTTTTTTGTGCCTCCTCCAGCCGCAGGGTTCGGCGTGGACCCCTCGCTGCAGATCGACGTGCTGTCCGAGCTGCGGCTGGGCGCGGCGGCGGCGGGCGTGCGCCAGGTGCCCGGGCTGCACAACGGCACCAAAGCCTTCCTCTTCCCAGGTAGGGACCCCCCTGCGCGCCCTTTCCTCGGAAATGCGCCCGGGAAGCTGATCCCGGGGTCGGGGCGCGCTCCTCGCCTCGGAACTTGGAGCGGCGGCTCGAAAATGGCTCTCAGTTGGTGGCTGAACTTGCGCCGGGCTAGGCTGCCTTCGTGTTGCATTTTAAGTTGCACTTCGGTGGCGTGTGGGTGCCTTGCATGAAGCTGGAGTCGGGAATATGCTTGCAGGAAAAATCCTCATCCTCATTTAAAAAGGCAAATAAAAAACGCAAGTCTAAGAATGACCTTTAAACGCAAATCTCTTATCTGACAGCTAAGGAAGCTTTTCATATTGTGTTTTGTTTTATTTTATTTTATTTATTTTATTTTATTTTATTTTATTTTATTTTATTTTATTTTATTTTATTTTATTTTATTTTATTTTATTTTATTTTATTATTTTATTTTCTAATTGCCTGTATAAGAGCACGAAACACGGCTCAACACGAGCACATTTCTGCCTCAATTTGTAGTTCCAAAAATACAGACGTGGATACGGGCTCCTCGCGCCGTGCTGGGAGTTCGGGCTCCGCTCCGGAGGAATTCCTGGTGCAACAGGCAAGGGGCTGCGCTTCCCGCCCCGAGCGGCTGCGCTTGCAGGGAGATAAGGGCTGCAGAGAGGATTTCTCTCGTGTTCGCCTTAACGAGATAATTTATCAGGAGCTAATAGTTGCCGAAGGGTTTTTTGTGCTTTAAGGTGATGCCTGTAGCGGTGCCCTTCCCGCTGCCGCCAGCGTGTGTCACTGTGGGCGCTCCTGTCACCCGGCACCCGCTGTCCCCGAGCAGCCACCGGCCGATGCTCCCGGAGAATCCCCAGGTTCCCTTTTTCTCCAGTTGCCCTTGCTTTGTGAGAGCACTTGTAGTTCGCAAAGGGCTGGCCGATTTAGCTGCAGCAAGGGAGGACAGGGCTTCAGATTTACACGCAAACCTGTTCATTCGCTCAGAGGAACTGAGCGGGGTTGGGGCGTGGGCGGCAAGGCGAAGCCGATTTGGCCCGAGGAAGTGGTTGAAGCCACTGTCCCTTGGAAAGTGTTTAGCACCTTGCAGGGTTCAATGCACTTTTCCTGGTACTGAATAATTGGACGGCTGACATCCATAGGGTAGATGGAGGCCTCCCTAAGAGGATGGGTCTTCATTTTTCCAACTTGCGTTTGGGAACATAGACATTTCCATGCTCCCTCAGACCACTTCTTGTTTTGCTCTTAGAGCTACCACCTTGGGAACATTGCTGCAATGTGTGCTTTTTAGTTTATATACTTGCAGTATGTAAATCTGAAATTTATGACCCGCTGACTTCAAATTTTATTTTTACCCTCTTTTTACCTAAGTCAAAGCCATAGCCATTAGACCCAAGTTACTTGTCTATAAAGACACAAATGACTTTAAATGATCTATGAACTTACTCTCAAAGCTTTAAATAGTGTTCCTTTTTCTTTGTTGTCTTCAGAAACTGATTTTTTTGTGTGTGTGTCACTTCTGTATTTTGCCCTTAGACTGTTTTGGTAGACCATGGCGTAAATCCTCATTTGTAAATCCCCTTCAGATGAATTGGTGGTGTTGTGCTTCCTACTGGCAAGAGCCAGAAGTTCTTGCTGGTGCTATCAGCCTGAGGAAGGTTGAAGCTCAGATTCCTGTTAGATTCCTCTCTACCAAACTCGTCCTTTATATACATGTAACCAAACAGAAGGGCTAAATGGAAGTCATTATTTTAGAAAGTATCCTAAGAGTGGCAGGTTGAGCTGCTGGCAGATAACAGACAATTAACCTTATATGTACAGTGAAAGCAGAATAGTCTCCTTCAGCTTGTGGGTGAAAAGTCAGTTTTGTCCGAGTAGAACTTATTTAATTGGGTGCAGAATCATTTATCATTATGAGAAATTTAGTGTCTAATTTGCTACTCTGATAAATTCTTCTTTCAATAATTGATTTTCAAAGGAACTTCTATTTCTAGACCACAGAGCAGACAGAGTTCCTCAGTGAAGGATCTTTTTGGGTCTGTTCGAGGCCCCACCCTTGAGTAGTCCTTACATGGTTGCTGATGTAGAAATATATCTAGCCATGTGAAATTTGCAGTCAATTTTACATACAAAATAAAAGACTTGTGAAACAGTCTTTACTGTTGGTAGGATTAGACTGATGGTCTTGAATCTTGAAGCTTTTCAGATTCCTGATGCTTCCTGACTGTAGTGGATGGTGGCACCTGGATGGTACCATGGCAGTCCTGCCCGGTTTAGCTGCAAGGATTTCTTTTGCTATAGAAATGTGATTTACAAAGTAATTGCAAAATGTTCCAGTGTAGCTTGTGGGAAGATACAAATATGAGTACAAAATAGGAGGAAGTCTTCCAAAATGCTAGTGTTGCTATATATGAACATCTGCCAACACTTCTAGCTAACAGATTATTATGTCAAAATATGTTGAGAATAAAATTATTCCTCTGGCCAGACTAGAACAGAAGTCAGAAGATCTATGGCAAAACTTCTTTCTGCTGGTGACTTTTCCCTTAAGTGAGTGACATTTTCAATACCTCAGTTTATCCTTTGCAAAATAGGGTTAACATTTAAAGTAACACCTAAGTCAGGTAGGTAGGTGGAAGTGTGATTAGTGTGTTTGAGGAGGCTTTGAATTCCTTTTGGAGGCCTGCCAATTATGCTCATCCTTATACTTCTGTCTTTGTGAATATACCACATAAGAACAATTTGAGCAGAGGAGTGGAGATTAAAGAAAATTGTAGCCATTTTCTTATGAGAATGCAAAATTCCAGTTGCTGCAAGAGCACTTGTTACACATGTAACTGTTTGTCTGCCTGTTGGATTCTCAAAACCGAAACCAACAGCTGGAGAGTATTAGAGATTTTGGAGGTATTGGGAATATGACTTAAGTCAGGTATTCTGACCTGTAGTAGGAAATTGCTCTGAAATATGTGGATCTAAATAAGGGCTGTAATGGTAACTTTGTTTCTTTCTGAGAGTCCTCTATGTAGCAACTTTTTCTCAGCCTCCTCGATTTCAGGCTCCATGTTACAGTCTTTTTAATTTAATTTTATTTTTTCCCCAACTGCTCTTGCAAGTAAACGCTATGAATCACACTAGCCTTGTGCAAAGCATGTGAGCAGTAATAGACACATCTTTCAACCACCTCCAGCAGCTGTGGAGTGCGGAAGGCTCCCTCTAAATCAAGCAGAGAGTCTCAAAATAAACATGAAAGCAAGGTGATGTGAAAGGAAAATATACACCCACCGAAGAGAGAGCATAAAGGGAGGATGCAGTCAGACACTTCCACGTACAGGAACTTTTTATCTAAGGCAAGTGTAAGAAGGCCTGACAACATGGAAGTGGGAGGGCTCGGGGATCTTTGCTTTGAGTTGGAAATTTTGCCTTCAGATGAGCGTTTTTTCCCAGTTTGGATATGTAAATTTTAACGTGGTTATAAGCAGGGCTTACGTAAGCTTGATGAGGAGGGACAGTGCTGGAGGCAGTGTATGGTAGATTATGATGGGGAACAAGAAGTGCTATAAAACACCAAAGAGCTGATTTAATCTGTCAGTATGATGCATGAAAGGACTTCACAGTAATTTTTTTTTTTTTTTTTTTGAATTGGATCTTGCTGGTACAAACTACAGCTAAAAAATAAAGCTAAAATAGGGCACTTCATATAAATGGCTTCTTATATATTGCTGCATAGCTAGATGATTAGCCCACTGTGTGAACAAAAAATGCTAGAAAGACAATATTGCTACTTATATATCCAGTATCCCTTGGTAAGATCACTGGTTTCTGACCTGTGGGATCATCTCTTAGTATTATTAAATGAGATCGAATAGCAGCTTTAAATTTTTCTCTTATTATAAAAATAGGTTTTTGGCTGGCTGTGCACTTCACACACTTTTTTTTTTTTTTTTTTTTTTTTCCTTGCCACCTGTCACTGGAACCATGGACAGCTGCTCTCTCCTGCTTCCAGCTGAGCCTGCTGAAAATGTTCCTGTTCCCAGCTGCTTGTCACTGCCCAGGGGCAAGAGGTTACTGTCCCCACAAGAAAAAGCAAAGCAAGAGATCATATGAGCACCCCCTAATGCTTAAAGGCAGCCAGCTTCTGGAGCAACCCTGTGCTGATGTATGTTAGTGATATATAAGATATATATCCCCTATAAGATCCCCTTTCTCCAGCAGTGCCAGAGGCCAAAGTCCTCTCCTAGAGGAACCTTACCAGGCAGTGGCGGGAGAGGCCACTCCTGTGCCCAGCTGGAATAACTGACTGTAAGTGAGTGTCTGTCTGCAGCAGCCTTGTTTCTCTCTCAGGATCAATGAATCCTCCAAATTTGGGACCTCCAGCATAGAGGTCACTGGTGGATATTTAATATTCCCAGAACTTTTTGAGGGGGTGGAAAAAAACTCCTATCCCATAGTTTTGGGAAGACTAAAATAACTGAAAATAACTCCAATACTTGCTAAAAATGAAACTTTTTTCGGTGCTGGAAGTGCTAACGTGAACAACCCCCCAGCAGCTCAGTAGCCAGAGACCCAGATTCTGAACAACCTGGAGCAGCAGCTTGTGCATCGCATTGGCGCCCGCTTGGCCCTGCCACCTTCCGCACCTCCCAGCACTGAGCCCTGCCTGTCCCTTGCATGTCCTCACTCGCTGCTGGTGGCTCCTGCTGGAGCTGCGGAGTGGGGCTGGCTGCTGTGGGGCAGCCTTGCTGCACAACTGCACAACTAACAGCCGCCTTCCCGGTGGTGGCAGCGGCGGCAGGAGGGGCTGCTTGGACAGCCTGTGCTGCTTGGAGAGGCTCTGCAAAACGGAGCAGGTGAAATGTGAGAGACCTGCGTGCAGCTCCGCTCTTGAGCTGGGCTGTCACGTGGAGCTATGCACTCGAGGAGGACACGTTTTTTACTGCTGAATAATAATAAATAAACCTCATATTGGAGATTGTGTTGTGCTGTGTGCTAGATCCTGCCATGCTGGC